TCATTCCATAGACAGCAAGTGTCCTGACCTGTTCAAAGTCCAGAAAAATACCTACAGTAATTGAATGGTTTCTTCTTAGTGTCAGTATAAAGCTCGTCTTCATGAGATCACTGTGTTCTTTAGAAACTGTTGAATAAAGTTATTATTTGTATTTAATGTGTGCACAAGAGTATTCCAGTAGCTTCATGATATGGCTGGGTGCTTTTACCCAGCCATATTATGAATTATCATATGCATTTTGTCAGTTTAACCAGTTGTAGTAATCCTTCAGCACATGCGTTTTGATAGAATAGATTTGCTAAATCTCATTTGCGATTTTAAATTTGATTAACTGTCCAGCCACACTTCATAATGTTCCGATTGGACAGTTAAAGGCATATTGTTTGTTTTAAGGCATTTTTCTGGACTTTGAATGAGCGGAAATCTTGCTGTTCATGGAGGACCAGGGAGCTCACAGATCTTATCAAAAATTTCTTAATATGTTTTCTGAAGATGAACGAAGGTCTCAAGGTAATGGATCAACATGAGGGCAAGTAATTTAAGTAATTTTTAACACAATTACAGTGTACTCGCACTAGGCAAAATTGTCTTGAACCATGCTCAAGTGCAATTGTTGCCTAATTGTCCCCTCTCCCCCTCTGCGCTTTTCACACTACCCTTCACTCTTCAAGCGTACCGCGCCAAAGCTCAACCAAACTGCGATCTGGCACACCTCTTCCAACTGGGAAAGGACCGGCCAAATGAAACCTTAGTGGGAGGGTTTCAGAGTACTCATACTTGTCAAATGAACCAGGCGATGAGGGTCAAACGTGCCTGAGCATGGTTCGGATAGCATAGTGTGAGTACACTCTTAAAATTTTGGGTGAACTAATCCTATCAGCCCAACACAAAAAGAAACCATTTAATGTATGCACTGCTTGCTGATTTTTTAAAAGTTGAATCTGCCAAAGAAATATAGAAGCACAATAGCTTTCGTAAAGTTAACAACTAAAACTATGAAAAATCACTTTGACATAAAGTATTTAGGGTGTCAAACTTTCGAGCGTTAATTTTTAAAGGGTTCATCAACCTATGTTTGCCAAGTACAAAACCTTCATGCATTCTTACATCTGTCTGACATTGGCAAAGATATGCTAACAGCATCCTAAATCACTTTGAAACATGTTAATAGCATGTCAATCCTTGTTAGCAACTTACTAAAACATGCTAACAACACGTCCATTTTTTATTCTTGTAGCAGTGTGGTAAACATGGTAACAAGATGCTATTTGATCATTACAATTGCTAATGTGCATTTTAAAGTATGGAAATGCTACATTTCGAATAAAAAGTTCCTTAATTTCTAATGTTTTTTACTTTCTATTTTAGACTTTTAGACTTTGCAAAAAGTGTTATTTCGAGTAATAGGAGGTGGAAATGCCTTTGTCGAATAAACTGATGAAGCAAACATTATACAAATATGACTGTATTGTTCCTTTCTAATTTTGTTTACTGTTGATTAGTAGGTTACAATACTACAGTCAACCACTAACAATTTCATTGTAATGCACTTTATTTGCTTTTTTTGTTGCAAACTTTGAAAAGATTCAAAGAATGTTAAAGCGTTGAAAAGACTTGGTTAAGATGTTTGATGTGTGTTAAAATGGCTAACACCATGCTAATCCATAATAGCATACTGTTATAGCATGTTAGCAGCTAGCAACAAATTAGTATACTTTATTAATATTTATCAATATGTATGTACAACATTTACAGATTCTTTTCATAGTCAGAATGATCATTTCATTGGATCTGTAGATCGCTTCATAAATCCACCCTGAATAACTCGTTGACTAATCAGACGTCACAAGACTGGAAGAAAAAAATTAAAACGCATAAGTCACTATCGCCTCAAGGTCAAGACACTAAACCAGTGACTGGTTTTCCTCGTCCTCAATCAGCTGTGGACAGAGGTCTCCCTGTGGGCCAGAATGACGGAGAGGATCATGGGGCTTCTACCTCTGACCCACATACTGTACAGAACAGGGTGCTGGACCACACTCGTTCCACACCAGCTGATCTCTTTCAGATTGAAGCAATTACTCCAGTCCAGTAATGCCTGGAGTTCAGAGACCTGAATACCCAGTGCTCAGAGACTATTGTGTAAGCGACTGACTGTCAGTGGCACATTATTCCTGAGCTTAGAATGGCTGGCTTTGTTTCACTCTTCTGAAGTTCCCTTGTAGAGTATGGTGATGGACTTTCATCTTTTTGCATTCCTAATGGGTGTTATTATTCATATCATGGTACTTAGTGGAGAATTCAGCCAAAAATAAAATCATCATTTACTTGCTTTGATGTAATTCTGTATGGATTGCTTTCTTTTTTGGAGCAAGTGTGTTTCGAACTGGTACTTTCACTTTCATGGCAACGAAAAAGTTATTAGTCAGAAATGTAAATGACATAATTTCATTCATACCGATACAGCTAAAGTAAAATTTTCTAAATGTTAGAATCTAAAAAATATGCAAGATAAAGCTGTGGTCACACTAGAGCTTGAGCTTGTGAAATTCTGTCGTGTGGCACTTCGATAAGGGGCTGGATTAAACAAGATAATTAGACATTTAAAAAGCGAGCGACTGCTCCATGTTTTAAATTTCTGTACAGAGAGGTCATGTTTTGATCCTCGATTGGTCTCACGCAGTCAAGGGATGCGATTTCGAAGGTCAGAGTTCACCAAGCTTGAACTTTGCACCGCAGCTACCTGCGAAACTTAACGCATGACCCTGTGTTTCCGGTCTGACGCATTCGCGTGCGTATAAATGGATGTCTATTGGAGGAAAAGCCCAGTGAGACTGCGGCTTAACAAAACAAAAAATAACAAAGATTTAGATGTTTTTTTGTATGTTGTAGTTTGTCTACATACTTGCATTTCTGCGATACACACTGCAATATTGAGTATACTTTCACCAGATGACTTCAATGGCTCTACTTGGATATATATATATATATATATATATATATATATATATATATATATATATATATATATATATATATATATATATATATATATATATTAGAGGGTTTAGGATCATTTTATAGACCATTTGCAGTTTAATAAACCAATAACAAGCATTGATCAATATAGAAGAGCAAAGACACAAGTAAAATAAACAATGCTTCATAGATTGCTGGGAGTCTTAATGGTATTCAGGTAAACAAACTGAATAATCAAATGTAAAATAAAATTCTCTATCCGCTTGCTAAGTTGTGACGTATGGAAAACTGTTTCCAGGTCCAAGCCGCAACTCATTTGAATTGACAAAATATTCGTTTATGACAATTTTTTAGTCATATCACACATTAAAGTTATTTTATTATAAAATCATGGTGACATCAGTCACTTGACTTGCTGCATCACAGACTTAAATATTTTAACAGTTATAAAAATGTATCACTTTCTGGCCATCTGATATTAGGCATGGATATATTTATATTGCGATCATGATTTTCGAAAGTATTACATCATTTTGTAGATATTTATTATTACCATTTGTTGAGTCTCCCCATAAAGTTTGATATAGCGATTGGACCCGGAAGCCACTTTGCATGACGTCACACTTAACAAGTGGATAGTCATCTTCATATACGTAAATACAATGAATCTTTTTTTAAATGTTGCAAACATCATAATTTATTGTGCAAAAATGCTTGAATTGGCTCAAAATGCTTACATGGGCCTTAAGAAAGCATGCTAATGCTACAATTGTTGGTAACATTGTGGAGTCACTACAAGGAGTAACCATAAATCATATGTTATTCAACTGTGGCACCTATAACTGTGGCACTAGTCAACTATAACCTTGACTCCTATTGGCATATGCTGCGATGCAACTATTGCAAATGCACACATTGCGATATCAATGCTGTAACAATATATTGTGCAGTCCTATTGCATGCCTATAATGGCAGCAATTCAACTTTTTATACACAAAAGTATCTCAGATTTTTTCTCCATGTGAATGAGAACAATACAAAAGCTAAATATTATTTAACCGAAATCTTGACCTTGTCTACTGGTCTCTGTGCAGCATTCATTATGTGTTCACAAGACTGTACCTTGACTCTAACATGCCCAGAAAAAGAGTTGTTAGAAAATTAAGATCAGTAGAAACAAAACATAAAATACAACTCATGTACTTTTTTTTCTCCAAGATAAATATATTTGTGCTTATCAGAGCAGCAAGTCAGTAACTGTCATCTGACAACTCAGTTTTTTCCATTGTATTATGCTTGTGTATAGTCCTGCACAATATCTCACATTTTAAAAAAAATACTGTAAATATGCACATCATAATGGTTTTATTATGTGAGTGGAATCAAGCCATGTTAAGACAGACAGCAGCACGACTATTGTTTTGTTTTCCTGATAAATTTTGATGTTTTTAGGTGGATAATGCTATACGTGGAGCAAAGTGCTGGTGATTATTATTATTTTTATAACTTTTATTTAAAATTGTTTATTTTATGCTGTCGTAAAACTTTTAAAAGTTGAAGTTTTGCTTTCTTTTCCCTGCAATAATCTGAAACATGTTGGTTATATCATTTATTACAAAAATCCTATTGCATATTGAATATCATATTATTTAGCATGCTATCATATATCAACTTGTTCTTCAATATCGCAGTCATATATACTCATATAGCCTGACCGTAATGTGATACTTTGTCCTTTTTTCTTCTTTTCTTTTGCTTTTTATAGGGCTGATCACTATAAAATCCCATTATATGAATAGTTTTTTTAATTAACCATGGATGACACCAGGATGAGTACAATAAATAATGTCTGAATTCTCATTTTGAGGTGAATCATCCCTTTAAAATGTGCAGCATAGATAAGAAAAGCCAGGGTTTGGTCTAATTTGTGATATTTTATCAAGTGTTGCGCAATGCATTTCTTCATGGCTGCTCAGTTTCATGTCAACACGCCGTCTCACAAGCTGCTTTTGTCCCTCCAGGGTTGCCACCCGCCATGTTAAGATAAAGACACAGATCTCTGTGCTGAACATGCTAAAGCGATTGGATAAGATAAGGTTCAGAGGACAGAAGCGAGATGAGTTCCTGGACCTTGCCGAATCCCCCAACGCATCTGACAGCGAATGTAACGATGACATCCCAGTAAAACACCGGAGCTCCCTCAAAGATACAGAAGAGCAGCGAGACCCTGTAAGTGAGGTTTTCTTCGTCTGTGAGATTATCAAGGGAGAATCCGTCAGGATCTGCTGAATGCATCTTTTTCTATGTGGTTAAATGTTGTTTTGACTCTGTAGAAAAATTTAAGTTGCTTTAAAATGGCACTGACCTTCATTTTACAGATATTACCATAGCATTTTTTGTTTAACCAAATAAATAAAACAAAAATAAATAAAATTACATGAAAATAAATACATTTTATTTTCTGAAATTTAGTTCCTTTTTATTTCTAAAGCAAAAATGGGTCCTGTTTTATGTTGTGTGGCCTTAATTACTGTTTAATTGCATTGAAAAAAAATTAGGCACAGCAATTTTATTTATTTAGCACATTTCATACACCAGTGGCAATTCAAAGTGTTTTACATAAATAGGAATAAAAGAGACAAAAATAAGAAAATCAAAACAAATAATAAAAAAACAGACCAAAACGAATTAAATTGTGTAAAAAAAAAAAAAAAAAAAAAAAAACAGGTTATAAAAGAATGAAAAAAACGAAAGACAAAATAGTGTGATCTGTCGTAGCACAGTGCTCATTCAGTAAAGGCACTGCTAAACAGATCTGTTTTCAGTCTTGATGTGAACGTGCCTAATGTTGGAGCACATCTGATCATTTCTGGAAGCTGATTCCAGCAGCGAGAGGCAAAGTAGCTAAAGGACGATTCACCCTGCTTTGACTGACCTCTTGGAATTTCTAGTTTATATGATCCTAAAGATCTGAGTGATCTGTTAGGTTTGTATTCAGTCAGCATATCTGTATTATATTGAGGTCGTAGGCCATTTAGTGATTTATAGACTTTAAAATGTATTTTGAATGTAACTGGGAGCCAATGTAAAGACCTGAGGACAGGTGTGATGTGCTCTGAATAAATACAATGTACATACTGTGTTCATGATATATTACAGAACACTTCTGGTGCTGTGGTGGGATACAGGTTGGGTTTAAGGTTGCCTTTAGGTTTAATGGTTGGTTAAGGTGAAAGGGATAGTCAACTGTATAATTTAAAGATGTAATTATAGAAATGAATTACAGATGTAGTTGCTTACAGGCATTTAATCAAGCATAAGTATAATACAATAAATGTATTTATGTAATAAGTGCATTGTAGCAAATAATCAATTTCAGTGCAAGTAAATATTAGTGAAAAGCCACCTAATTAGCCTAGATATTTAGCCATAGGTTTAGGAAACATTAAGATCTGCTTATTCTTTTCATCATCTAATTCATTCGTAATTGGAAAAATAAAACTTATTTAGGCCCTTCTAAATATTTTTAAAGGAAATGTCTAAATAAAATATAAATATGTTAAGTACAACTGGTAATTTTTCCATTTACATTAGGGCAGCATGATATTGGATACATTTTACATTGCAATATTTATTTCTCTGCAATTTAGAAATTGTGACATAAATACAATGTTATCAGATGACTTGAATAGCTCTGTTTGCAAAGCCATTAGTTTAGATTGAGTGGGATGATTTTGTAGGGGAGTGAAATATAAATATATGTTTTGTCTAATTTATTAAATGCATATAATAAACAAACTACAGTCATAAATAAACACATAAATATTCAGCAGAAACTGAATAATCAACTGTTAAAAAAAAACACTGCACAGTCTTCATCATGTAAATAATTCAGTAAAATTCATCTTTATTAACCTCTACATGCTACTAAAACACTTTTAAACTCTTAAAATCCTTATATAGTCACAGGCGTAAAAACACATGCACATGATAAACTTTTTATTATGGTTGCATTCTGCAGTGTCTCCACAAATCTCGTGTGTCTCCACAAAATGTTTTGACCTGTGGTTTCTGGTCATCTACAGTATAATGCCAAATCAACAATGCATATCTTGCTATGTGAAAATTGCAGATACATGCATTGTGATATCGATGCTCAAACGATACATTGTGCAGCACTAATTTACATTGTATGTAAATTCTCTAACAAAAACAACAACAAAAAATTGCAAGTTCATTCATTTATTCACTTTCTTTTCGGCTTAGTCCCTTTATTTCTCAGGGGTCGCCACAACGGAATGAACTTATCCATCATATGTTTTACGCAGCAGATGCCCTTCCAGCCAACACTGGGAAACATCCACACACTAAAGAAATTCAAATAACGATAAAAAAAATCACTTAATCTATGTCTATGGGCTACCATGTAAAAGCTGCAAAGAGCTATTTATAACATCATTTGTGTTGATGTCTGGGATTTATATGTTTTGTAAATATTTATCAAATATGAAATTTGACTGGGCTGACTTTTTCTATTATAACCGCTAGTCATAGAAAATAAATAAGTTATTAAATAACTGTGCTAGCAAAAAATAAAAATAAGTAAATAAATGCTAGCAAATACAATGGTATTGTAAAAGATGTTAAATGATTTATCAGTTTAATTTAAATATATATATATGCTATTCCAAAATAACAAAAAAGTCTTCTTAATTGTAATAATAATTCCACTGCATCCCATTCAAAGATGCTATTGGATATTAACCAGTTAAATTTATTTGTTTTTTGCATTTTTAGCAATTTGCTCATGGCAGATTTTCATGGTGTCCGCGGGGTCTTGAAGTCTTAAAGTCTTCAGAAATATTGTCTTGTAGGTCCTAAATCATTTTATTTTATTTTTCTCTGTGCATGTCAAGCTACCCAATCAATTCAACACGAATCCAATCTCCAACAATACATTCTTAATAAAACTTTTAGAAAAAATTGTATTTGTAAATAACATTTTAACAGTTTGTAGTGCATACATTTAAGTTTTTTTTTTTTTAAGTTAGTAAGTATACAACTAGGGTCTGCTTTTTTGACACATTACTTTAAATATTTGGGTAATAAATAACTAATTAGAATTAGTTTTTTGATGGGGCAAGAAAAAAAATTCTGCCGGGCAATTAAAAAATCCTTAGCCTTAAGCTCTGAACAAGTCTAAAATGTAATTCTTGATTGTCTTAAAATGTCTTAAATTGGACTTGGTGAAACCTGTAGAAACCCTGCATTTCAACCCCAGGTCTCAAACTCAAGTCCTGAAGAGCCACAGCTCTGAACACCTTGATTATTTGGATCAGCTATGTTTCATTTAGCTTTAGAGCAAAACTGCAGAGCTGTGGCCCTCCAGGAGTTTGAGACCTATGATTTAAACAAATAAAAATCAAATTCGCTATAATTAATGTTTTCTGAAAAAAATCTCTTTAATGGAATATTAACTAAAAACTTTAGAAAGAAACAACATTATTAATCATAGTAATAAATCATGTTTTCCCATCACTTGCTGGCAGTAAGCATTTGCTTCCTGTTCTTTGCATATCATGAGAGGCAGACAGCAAGATTCCCAAAGGACATCCATTATCTCCACTGTATTTCTTCTGTATAAATGACCTCTTCCTGTTGTTGCAGCTGAGATTGCCCTCCATCTCTCACATCCTCAATTCTTTGATAAAAGTTTTCCTGTGTCTGTTTGCTTCTGATGCCACCCTGCGTTCAGCCTCTGACCTACTGCATGACACTTTACTAGAGAAGAACTGATGGGAAACCACGCTCTGACAAAATGATGTTATTAAGAGCAGCCTCCTTCAAGCGTGTTTTCAAAGAAATTGCATTTGCAGCTTATAATTTAATTAGCCCAGGAAAGCTCACCTAAGAGATCTGCTGTGTCTCTGGAGGTTTCTAAGCCGGTCAACATTGTTAAATCTGCCGTGTTGGCGTCCGGTTGTGACAAGAGCCGTGATTTGTAGAAACCTGGTTCTGCTGAACTACTGGAAGACAACACTGTAATGTCTCTAGCATGCTGGAGCCACAGACAAGTAACAAATCTTTGGACTCCTAATGAACAATCCTATTTGTATTTTACGATTGAATATAATGTCTATTAGACTGTCATGTTAATGTTTAATGTCGGACCTTAGCAGCTATTTAATGTTGACATTGTAATGAGCCTTCACAAACTTCTACGCTGCTTATGATTATGTTGAGGCTTAAGCACCAAACTACCACCAAATCAATTTTTTAAATAACATATTTAACATTTTTATTTAAAATAACATATTAATCATTCTGTTATGTTGTCTTTACATCCAAAATATTAGTGTTAAATAATGTCAGAAGTCTTTTTAGCAATGTGTAAAACATACTAGGATTCCTTAAAATTCCAGTGTAAATGAAGTTGCAACTTGTTAAGCATGATAGCAGTGTGTTAAAACATGTTATAAACATTAGCCACGTTTTAATTCATATAATGTGCTAAACATGCTAACAGTGTTAAATCATTAGCAATGTGTGAAATCATGATGGGAAAATTCTAACAACATGCTGTAATGTTTGCAGTGCGCTAAATCATCTTATAAACAATAACCATGTGCTAAATGATTAGCAACGTGCTTAATCATGATATAATATCCTAGGAACATACTAAATTGTTAGCAATGCTTAATCATCGCATAAACCTATGTTAAAACATGTAATGACCTTAACTTGCATTGTTTTAAATCATTTGTACCGATTTAGTACCAGTGTGCTATAGTGCTAAATCATGTTATAAACATTAGCCATGTGTTAAAGGGCCATGAAACCCCCCTGTTTCAGCAGGGTGTTTTCACACCTCTAGTTTGGAAAAAGTCAGGAAACTGGGCGTGTTCAGCTCTGTTTAGGGGGAGTGTCGGAGAAAAAGAAGGTGCATGAAAATTCGCATAAAAATGGGAGTGTGGGTTTGGGCACACGCTGATTTGAGGCAAAACAACACACAGACGCAAGAGAGAAAGACAGTGACTGTGTTTACATGGACATCAGTAAATTGAATTTGAATTGCCAAATTATTAAACGGTGGACTTTAACGGCAGTTTGGCAATTTTTTTAGGAATTTCATTCATGCCCCTCATGACAAACGAGGTATTTGATTCGAGGAACTGCTTTAAGCGTGTATTTTTAATGCATTGTTTGATACCGTAACAGGAATGAGAGAAAAAAAAACCTCCGCATTTCTCTGTAACGTAGATGCACTCAGTAGGTAGCGTCAGAAAGCCGTGTGTGTTATTCCTGTAACAAAATGCGGCAAAAATCCTACACGATGGTAATAGTTTGATTGCGGTGTTTACATGTTTACACTTGGAGAGCAGCATTTACAGCGGATCTTTCAGTCTATGATATTGTAGTGATGTTAATGTACTGTAAAATTTAGTAACTCAGAAATCATCAGACTAAGGTTCGTCTTTAAATACTGAAAGAGTACTGCTGACAATACAAACTAACTTTTTCCTCTGAATAAAAAAAAACAAAGACCACTGATCGCTTGCTCACCAAATCTGTAGAGACAGGACAATCAACAACAACTAGAGCTGCGTCTTTTTTAAAAAGAGTCGAGCGGCAATTCCGCATTTCACCATTTCCAGATGAGAAAAGCTCTCGGGTAAAAAATGTTCCTTACAAAAGTATTTTTGTTGAGCGTTGTTTCAAACCGGAAGAACGAATTTGCTCGAAATAACGCAAAAATAACCAATTTTCACTTGTTAGTGAAAATAGTGTCCTAATAGTGTTTTTAGTAGTGTATATGACTGTCAACATCTCAAAAAAATGTGTTTGTGTTTTCGTGACCCTTTAAATCATGTAATATGCTAAACAAGCTAGCAGTGTGTTACTGTAAGTCATTTAGTAATGTGCTAACAATGTGCTATGTCATGATTGATAATCACAACTTGTTAAAATAGCAGAGTACTGAATCGTGTTATTAGCCATGTTTTAAGTCATGTAATTTGCTAAAGAAGCTAGGAGTGTGTCAAGTCATTTAGTAATGTGTTAAATCATGAAATAAATATTCCAACAACATCCCTACTTATCCCCCTAGGCCGCTTGGCTGATTGTAGCTGGTTGACCAGCCTAGTTTTAGAGGGGTTTTGGCCATTTCCAGGCTGGTTTCCAGTTATTTCCAGCCTGGTCTTAGCTCGTCTGGCTGGGAGGCTGGTTTTAGACTAGGCTGGAAATAACTGGAAACCAGCCTAGAAATGGCCAAAACCCATCTAAAACCAGGCTAATCAACCAGCTAAAACCAGCCAACCTGCTTAGGCTGGTTTCAGCTGTTTTTTTTTTCAGCAGGGAAGTCATTTAGAAATGTGCTAACAATGTGCTAAATCATGATAGAAATATACTAGCAACATGTAAAAATTTTTGCAGTGTGTTGAATCATCTTATAAACATTAGCCTTGTATTAAATCATAAGCAATGTGCAAATCATGATAGAAATATTTTACAATATTCATAAACAACATATTCAAATGTTGGCAGTGCTTAATCATGTTATAAAATTGTTAAATCATGTAGTGCACTGAACATGCTAGCATTGTGTTAAATCATTTGCACAGTGCTAACAATGTGTTAAATCCTTTTAGAAACATTCCAGCAACATGTTAAAATGTTAGCAGTGTGATGAGTCATGTTATAAACATTAGCTATGTGTTAAATAATTACCAAAATACAAAATCATGATAGAAAGATTCTAGCAACATATTAAAATGTTAACAGTGCTTAATCAGTTTTTAAAGTGCTACTTTAAACTTTTTAAATCATCTAATGTGCTAAACATGCTAGCATGTGTTAATGTAACGTCCCAAACAAGCCAGCAGTAATAAATCATTAGCTAAGTGCTAAATCATGATAGAAATATTCTAGCAACATGCAAAAATTTTAGCAATGTGGTAAAAAATGTTAGCATTTCTTAAAATACCAGTGTAAATGAACATGTTAACACCATGTTAAACATATAGGCTAAGTGTGTTAAATCATGTTATAAACAATAGCCATGTTAAATCATATGTTAAACATGCTAGCAATGTGTTAAACTATTCGCACTGTGATATAAACATTAGCCATGTGTTAAATCATAAGCAATGTGCAAAATAATGACAGAAATATTCTAGAAACATTATAAAATGTTAGCAGTGCTTAATCATGTTAAATCATGTAATGTGCAAAACATGTTTGCAGTGTGTTAAATCATTAGCAGTGTGCTAAATCATGTATGAAACATTCCAGCAACATGTTAAAATGTTTGCAGTTTGAATAATGCTAGCAATGACACATCATGTTAAGCGTTAACATACAGCTTTCTCTAAACATAAACTACAGTACAAACTTTTAGAGAAGGCTTTAAATCAACAGCAGATTTTCATCAAACTTTACTAACATATTTTTTATTCCTGTTTGTCCTCAGGCTGGATCAGGGATGCTCACCATGTCTGCTGCGCCCATCCAGGACTACAAGATGACTGATGCAGACCCGCTCAGTGAGGTCAAAGGTCACCTGGAGATAGCCTTACTGGAAAAGCACTTTCTTCGTGAGTGTTCAAGATATTCATTCATTCTTAAGGCGTCCCTATTTTACATGGCTCCATTGTTTTACATCATCGGAGCTCTGCTGATTTAGCAGTCCTTTCAGATGGATTTTATATCCTCTTATGGCCACTTTGTCATTTTTGAGCCAGTGTGCTGTAAGCAGTGTCCTAAAACCTAGCATGCGGACTCATTGCATACTGTCTGCATAGTCAGCAGTATTTTAAGGCAGCAGGTTTAGAACTGGTTGCATTGAGAGTGAAAGCTGTGAACAATAACCTGTGCATCGTTTGTGCCCACTTTCTTAATTAGGACTTTAAACTCCTTAATATTTATGATCTAGACTGTGATTTATGTTCATTTAAAAGAATGTTCTCAAGTCAAATATTTTAATCTTACAATTGAGAATATTTAAAAACAAACATGAGCTTTATTATTAACAGTTTAATGTAAGGTCTGTAAGGTTATTAATCTGGGGTCGCCACAGAGAAATTAACTGCCAACTTATCCAGCATATGTTTCACGCGGCGAATGCCCTTCCAGCTGCAACCCATCTCTGGGAAACATCCATACACACTCATTCACACTCATTAACTATGGACAATTTAGCTTACCCAATTCACCTATAGCGCATGTCTTTGGACTGTGGGTTAAAAACCGCAAGTGTGCAGGGCAAACTTTAGCAACTCTACGGCCCTTATTAGAAAAATACATTTTAATGGCTCAGTGTTACGCTTGATTAAATCCTCATTTCTGAGAGGTTTGAATGTGCTGTAATTTGTGTAAATAATCTCAGTCATAATGTTCATTTGTTAATTTGTTATTAGCCTTTTAAACATGTTTTTGAGAGATTCCCAATTTATTTAGTAGTTAGTCGATCGTCGTCTTTCATATACAACCTCTGAACCAGTAAATGCATGTATAAGCGCTGATTGACAGACGCACTCCGTACATTAAACTGATCCCAGATCAGCTTTTGTACACGCCATTTAAAGTGACACCTCTGTTATCAAACAAGTGAGCAGCAAATGAATTACATGTTTTGCTTTGTTTGATAACAGAGGTGTCTCTGTAAGAATGCACAGATCTATAATGAAAGCATTCCATTACTTTAGTAACTGTTTGTGCTCGTTTAAGAGGAAATTAGCTGTTTAAAATAAAACATGCAGGACAGACATGTTTACAAATTATTCAGTGTATTTGTCTGTTTAAACAAACTCGAATCCAAAAGTGTCCTGCACCTTTGCTCCTCTTTAAATGGCGTGTACAAGCTGATCTGGGATCAGTTTAATGTACCAAGCGGGTCTGTCAATCAGCGCTTGTGCATGCATTCACTGGTTCAGAGGTTGCATATGAAAAGCGACGATCGACGCACAACTTTATTGTAAAGAAAGTGAATGGTAAAATACGGGAGAATTTTGGTAAAAACACGAGGGTTTACGTAAATTAAGTGAACAGGAAGTGTTTGTGGAGAAACAGTTTTGCAAGAGAACGCAAAACATCTTTGCGAGGGAAAGCAAAACATCTTTTCGAGGGAACGCAAAAAAAAGCTTAAAAATGTTTTCCTATCACTGTTTTTTTTCTTCCAACTTTTTTTTTTCCTACACCTATTTTTTTTCCCCACCATCACGTCCCTTCCGGGTCTCCATACAGTCCTTCTTTGTTAACATAATATTTATTGCTTTAGCCACAATATTCTTAATCACGCCCTTGTTAGTTTGCAATGATTTAATGAAGTGCAAACAGAAAGCTCCACCCCTACTCAATATTTTCACTACAGTTGGAAGTACATCAACATTTACAACAAATTCCACCTCACGCATACTTTAAAGTGATAAAAATATACATTTCTATTTAATTTAAAAATCCCTAAATTGGTAAAGTTTTACAATCACTTGAGGTGGTTTTGGATTTTTGTGGAGTTTTTTGGACAAAGTGCTGATGTGAATAATAGGCAAGGCAAGGTAAGTTTATTTATATAGCACATTTCATGCACAGTGGCAATTCAAAGTGCTTTACATAAACAGGAATAAAAGAAACAAGTAAAAAAAAAAAAATATATATATATATATATATATATATATATATATATATATATATATATATATATATATATATATATATATATATATATATATATAATGGGGGATGAAAACGTATTTGCCAAATAAATTCTACATCCATGATACTTATCAGCTTTTTCCATTGTTCTTGACTTGTTTATTGTTGGCTACTTGGTTTACTAATACCACAACTTAGTGGACAACTTTTACCTATTTCTTTTTTCTTTTTTTTTTGCAAACTTTAAAAAGAGTTGGCATTTGTGTGTGTTTGCATGTTCTCCCCGTGTTCGCGTGGGTTTCCTCCAGGTACTCCGATTTCCCCCACAAGTCCAAAGACATGCGCTATAAGTGAATTGAATAAACTGAATTGTCCACAGTGTATGTGTGTAAATGAGAGTGTATGGATGTTTCCCAGTGATGGGTTGCGACTGGAAGGGCATCCGCTGTGTAAAACATATGCTGGATGAGTAGGCGCTTCATTTTGCTGCGGTGACCCCTGATTAATAAAGGGACTAAGCTGAAAAGAAAATGAATGAATTAAAAGATTGTCACATTTAAAATGATTTTTTATAACAATCTCTGGTGTTTCTGTATGGAGTTTAAATTTTACATCCAGATTTAGTTACAAACACCTCCTAAGGAGTAAAACTGACCTGCAGTAAATCTCCAGGTGTGTGTGTGTGTGTGTGTCAGTTTATCACTCTGGCAGTGGACTGAGCTCACTCTCATTAAGACCAGATCTGTGTGCGTCTTACAGCGATAAACCCTCCATGTACACCACTGATCCCTCTGACCCAAACCTCATTTTTAATTAGTGACACTTTGAGGCAGAGATTAGCTCTCTACTGGGGGTTTAACACACACACACACTCATCCAACAGAGCTAACATGATGTAGACATTTTATGGTGTATTGTTATTGTTTAACATTATTTGTCTTTTATGATCCTAACATGTCTTATGGACATCTGATGCAACTAACACGGAGACAGTATACAATATAAAGTGATTTTTTTATATTTAGATTTTGGTTTTCTGTGTGCCTTAGTTGTTTGTGAATCACTATGTCACTATATCAGTCAAACTGTATTTTATAGTATATTAAAATTATAGTCTGCATCTGGCATGACTTGGAACACATCGCTAGTAACTGAGTGCATTAAATATAATATAAATATAATGTGAGATGCAGTAGAACGGTGAAAAAATGCAAGATGCGAGTTGCGGTCTGCGAATAACATTTCATGAAAAAGCATTTTTTTTTTTTTTGCAGATTATCCCTCACTGATAATGTTGAGTATTGCTGGATGTTTGAGTAGTGGTATTTGGTATTGACTAAAAAACAACAATATTTGAGTGAAATTGTTTTTCATAAAATATTACGCAATATTGATATCTGGGGGCCGTTATCTCGCTTATTTGATCTAAGATGATTTGGCAGATCCTGAACCTTTAATCTTAACAACTGATCTCTGGTTAATTTGGTTCTTTATGAATCAGATTAAAGAGCCCCTATTTTACACTTAAAAGGGTCATAATTTGGTGATAAGGGTCTCTAACAACAGGCTGATATACATGCAAGGTCAAAAAACACTTTCACTGTCTTATAATATGTATTTATTTTTACTTCATTATCCCAGCGACCCCCATATAATTCGTTCTTCGATTTATTTGTTCCCAAACCCCTCCTTAGTGCGAAGCTAATCTGCGCTGATTGGACCGATGACAGTCTGTTGTGATTGGTTGACAGTGTTCAGCGCGAGACAGAGTAAAATGTACGGCACATCAACAATTTTGAAGTTTTCAGGGGAAGGGTTTTTCCCGAGACTCTCCTGTAATTCAGACCTATCTCCTGCCGCCTTCCCGTTATGTTATTTATTCCAGAAAACTCCCAGTCTGTGAAATCCCCGGGTCGCCACAGCGCCCGAAACACGTGTATAAGCCCAATGCAGGAGTGCAATAAAGCAGTGCAGTTAAACACTAGCATATTGCTTCATTCTTAACCATGACACACATTCAGCATTAATCGACACACGTCGCATTTTCAATGTGGCTTTAGACTTGATATAAGAATATAGTTAACCAGATACAGTACAAGCAGTTACGAGTAACAAAAAACAAATAGCATAATTTGCAATCTAGAGAAAACAAAGCGGCAACCATTTTAATCACACTTACTTACACTTGTGAAATCAAGGAAGAAACTAGCCCACTGTAAAGTACAAGTTAAAACTATATATAATTGGGTAGGCTAAATTGTCCATAGTGTATTAGTGTTTGTGTGGATGTTTCCCAGAGATGGGTTGCGGCTGGAAGGGCATCCGCTGCATAAAAACTTAATGGATAAGTGGCGACCCCGGATTAATAAAGGGACTAAGCCGACAAGAAAATGAATGAAGATATATATATAAATAAATAAAACTTATGCAGTTTGCACCCCTGAAGTGAAAGTACAAAGACTGCCACCTGGTGGTGCAAAGAGAAAACTTATTGATATGAACTTTTTAGATCGCTTTAGTACAATTTGTGTATAAATAGACATACACAATGTGACTTTTTTAAAAGCAATAATACATTTATGCAGTCATAAACATGTTTTAACACTTAATATGACAGTGATTTGATCCCTTACAAAAGTTGCAGACGTCTTTACCAATATCAAAATGCTTTTGTACACATCCAATTATTCTTAACCCTGATTAAAAAAACAGCTACTACTATAATACTATTATGGCTACTATAATAAGGAAAATCCGCTCTAACTGTAAAACTGAAAAAATTGCTCTTGACAAATGAAAGGGCCAATCATGCAGCCCACAAAAAGGTGTAAAGCTATTGCGTAATATATTTAACAAACCGTTTACTGCGGATTTTATGTAATTTAGCTCACATGGATAATTGAATATTAATCAGATGATGTCATTACCCTGCTGTGCCGTCAGC